ACTTTCGTTTTCTTTCCGTTTTCGACCAGAAAGCATACAGTCATCGAATAAGCTGGTGCTTTTCACCTTATGGGCAATGAGGGTTTGCTAGCGAATGTCTTATTTCTAGATGACACTTGGGAGAAGAGGTGGATAGTGTCGAAGCACAAAGATGATTACGGCAAATGGATCTTATCACATGGACAGTTCTATGGTGACGCTGTCAAGGACAAAGGTCTTAAAACGTCCCAGGTTTCTTTCTTTTTTTTAATCAGTAAAAAGTTAGACTTATACTTTAAAATGCTGTTTTTCCGGGATATTTTTTCCCCTTTTTTCCTAAGTTGTTAGTGAGCTTCGTCATTTTGCATTGACGCTACTGGGAGTTGCAGGATGCAAGATTCTATTCAATCGCTAGCAAATTTGAAAAGGGCTTCTCGAACCGAGGCAAAACTCTGGTGATTCAGTTCAGTGTCAAGCATGAACAAGATATCGACTGTGGCGGCGGCTATGTTAAGGTAAGTTCACTTCGCATCGCTATCACTGTACGAACAGCGTGCCGTTTTGCAGTTCCATTTCCCACTTTATGGTGGTTTAAACCTCTTAAAACAGGCCTGTTTTACTGGAAAACTTACGATCGTCTCTCACTTTCTGCTAAAAGCATTCCATCTTTTGTTATGCATCATTGATGTAATGCAAAAACACATACTGTCAAGAACCCGTCTGCGCCGCGCGCGCGGTCGGATATCCGTCCGGGTTTTTTCCAGTTCAGCAACTAGACATTTCTTTCCCGGTTTTTCCAGTTCAGCAACATAGGGTTGTGCGTTTGTGTGTTTCTTGATTATGTGTAACTTCAAGAGCGTAAGATTCGATTTCACGTATGCTTTATACGTCACGTGTGAGTGTACGTCAAGTTGTAATTGCGCAGCTCTTCGCTAACCAGGCAAGCTAGTGCGCAGCTGTACATCCTTCGAAATTTTAAACAGTTTTCATAAGCACTTTTCACTACGGGTAGTTGAGTGTTCTAGTAAGGTAACTGTTGACACAATTGCAACTTCAAAGTTAAACAAGGTAGAAAACTGAAACTATATCTGATGTTTTCAGTGCAGATCTTTGAGCTGGCAACTTAAAGTTGCTAAATAAGCCGTATATGTTAATACGTAGACGATTTCAAGCCCGCCTTCTTCCTCCAATTTACTGGTCACGCATATTTGCTGTTGATATCTCTAAAATTCCCATAACACTCGCGCTTATTCCTCGTTCATGGACTCGTGAGGTCTAAAACTGCTGTATCATTTCAGAGACTTATTTCAGTGCTTAGTTATGTTTTTCAGTTAATGGCATCAGATGCCAAATTGGAAGACTTCCATGGCGAAACGCCCTATCATATAATGTTCGGACCGGACATATGCGGTCCGGGAACAAAGAAAGTCCATGTGATATTCCACTATAAAGACCAAAATCACTTGATCAAAAAAGACATCCGTGCAAAGGTATGTCTGCATTCGGTCCTCGTTGCTTTCCTCTTTTGGTTTCATTAAAAATTGTCAAATTCACGCGCTTTTCCACTTTCCGTCGATGTTGCTTTATGTGCATCGGTGACTAAACGAAAAGCAAAATCAAAAATTCTCTTGTATCTACCCGTTTGTTCTTTCTGGATTTCGGGTTCGAACTGAGAATACACATATATTCGTTAGATTCCTTGTCTCGTTTTCTAAATCCCTCGCTTTTGCTCAAAACGAAGTGTTGCAGGATGACGTGCTGACGCATCTTTACACGTTAATAGTGAATCCGGACAACACGTACGAAGTGCAAATCGATGGCGAGAAAGCGGAGTCAGGTGAATTGGAAGCGGATTGGGACTTCCTTCCTCCAAAGAAGATTAAGGTTCAGATTCCGCTCTTCATGGTGTCTTGAAGGGCTAAAGTTAATTTTTAAATTGTATAGCTCTCAACTTCCTTTTGCTGAGAGATTTCTTGGAGCAGGCTGATGATATTTTCGATTCCGAAAGTGATAGGCTCATCAGTGGCATTGACTTGGCCAGGAAGGGTCGATTTTTGCTTGAAAGCAGACTTCAGAGCGCTTATTAGCTGCAAAGAGCAAGACCACTGGAAAAAACGAACACTAATTACACGGGGTTTTTGATCAGCACTGGCAATCTTTTTTACGGTTGGTTGAGGCCTACCTTTTACGTACAGTGAGTGTGTACTCACGTCAAGACTAACTGGTATTGTGGTTTGCAGCCTCCTCGTTGGGTTTACAATTTTTTTTAGCAAAATTTGTCTCCTCGATGTTGCTGGCAGATAGTTATTTGTTCGTTTTGCCTTGGGTCTTTTCATTTGTATTTTTTATTCACAAAGCGTACAAGGATGTCCCGCTGTAATCAGACCAATGATCAACTGAACTAAATG